GTAATCAACGATTACTAATAAGTTTTCTCCCGAAGGCAATGGTCCTAGTAGATCGATAGCTACATCTTTCCACGGTCCGGATGGAGGTTCGGTACGTTGCATCGGTTCAGGTGCTCTAAAATCTCCAACCACTTGACAGCCATGGCATCTCTTGCATATGCGTTCTGCATCACCGTCCATTTTAGGCCACCAAACTTTACTCCTTAATCTGTTTTTCATCTTCACTATGCCCTGGTGCCCTACATGTGCTAAACGCAACACTTCATTTCTAAGAGCTTGTGGTATCACTATTCTTGTTCCACGCATAACCATGGTGCTGGCCAATAATGCAAAGTTCGTTCTTTACACTCGAATAATATGGCATTTTACATTCAGACCTATTTCCTGTACGAATATAATGTCTAACACTTACAAGTGCAGGATCCTTCTCCGATTCTCTTTCAACTTCTTTAGCTGTTAATGCCACCGGTGTACTTTCTTGCGCGATAATTCGAACAACATCCACAGTTTCGCCACTGTGATCTTTAGGAACTTTCGAATTTAACCTAGACAAAGCATCAGCTATGTTAGTTTCTCCCGGCCGATAGACAACCTTGAAGTGATAACCTTGTAGCCGAAGAACCCATCTTTCGAGTCGTGCAGATGGCTTAGACGATGTGTTGTATATATACTGTAAAGGCTTGTGGTCCGTCTCTAGCTCAAATTTACGACCATAAACATACAACTTGAATCTCTCACATGCCCACACCAACGCAAGACCTTCTTTCTCCGTTTGGGAATACCTCCTTTCGACGCTAGTGAGGTTCCTAGATGCATACGAAATTACTCTCCATGAATCACCCTGTAACTGTGTGAGAACCGCTCCAATCCCTGTAGGACCAGCATCAGCAATAATGCGTGTTTCACAATCGTTCTTGAAGTAAGCAAGCGTCTCGGCCTGAGTTAAAAGATCTTTCAATGTTGCAAAAGACTGTTGTTGAGCTTTTCCCCATTCAAATTGTGATTCTTTCTAGTTAATTTTCTGATTGGTTCTGCCACTTGTGCAAAATCAGGTAGGAACTTGGCACAGTACTGCACTAGGCCTAGGAAAGATCTAACTTCTGCAGCATTCTTTGGGGGTTTGGCATCTCTTACTGCTGCCACCTTCTCTTCGTTTGGCGAAACACCATCACAACTAAGATCATGACCAAAAAATGTCAACTTTGGAAGTCGAAACTGACACTTGTTTGCATTTAGGGTTAATCCACACTCCCGTAAACGATTAAGTACAGCTACCAAATTCTTGCCGTGCTCTTCAATTCCCCGTCCAACTCCTTTGCAACCAATTAATACATCCTTGACTATCTTCTGGTACATCTCGGGTGCTGAGGTTATTCCAAACATCAACCTCTTGTATCTATATAGTCCACCATGCGTTACAAATGTGGTGATACGACGCGATGAATCTTCAAGCTCGACTTGATGAAATCTCCATTTCAAATCTAATTTACTGTAGACTGTTGATCCATTTAACTCGTATAAGACTTCCTCTATAGTGGGGATTGGATGACGCTCCCTTTCAATAGCTTCGTTCGCTCGCCTCATATCGACACAAATACGAATATCACCGTCCGGTTTTGGTACGACAACAAGAGGTGATATCCAACCGGTAGGGCCACTTGGTACTTCTTCAATAATATCTTCTTCTAATAACTCTGAGACCAAACGGTAATCTTCTTACTGGTTGTGCTACTGATTTCACATCATCTTTAATGTGCAATTTCATCTGGAAATCCTTTAGTTTTCCCACTCCTAAGAAAATTTCTTTAAAATCATTCATAATATCTTTATCACTGCCTTCATATGCAACCGAGTAGACTTGTGGAGAACGTGGAGGTCCCACTCTAAGAACATTTAATTTCTCAGCTGTATTCTTTCCAAGTAAAACTTTTCCTGGACCTTCAACTACGGTAAACTCATCGACACAGCTTACCCTTGAATCTTTACAGAAAATATCGCTTTTGAATGTTCCCAAAACCTCAATTGAATTCGTTTGTCCATATGCGAACAATTTCTTTTCGCTTTTCTGAGATTCACACTTCACACCTTTTTGTTTCAGGTTTTCCCATGTTGCTCGATCCATTATATTGCAGGAAGCTCCAGAATGGATAAGGACATTAATTAACTCCACACCTCCAATGATAAGATCAACAACTCCACCTGTCTTTTCACCAGCAGGTTTAACTACAAAAGCGTAATTGTCCGTTTCTGGTTTCTGTTTCTTTTCCTCTACTTGATAAGCTCCATCTTGACGTTGTTTTCCATTTGAGGGTTTCTTTGGGGCTTTAGTACGACAACAAACTGCAAAATGACCGACCAATCCACGCTTTTTACATGTTTTACTTATTGCAGGACAGTTTTTATCTCGTCCGATGTGTCCTGTCATATTGCATCGATAACATTTCCTACCCTCTTTATGCTTTCCATCAGATGCACGGTCATCAGGTTTGGTACCATACTTTCCTTTCCCTCTTCGATTACCTTGGAATATTCCATGTACTTGATTTGTACCTGATCTATCCATAGATTGCATTTGTGTGTTTACAGTTTCGTGAACTCTAGCCGTGTCTTGAAGCACAGATAAAGTTACTGTACCTGTCTTTTCAAGAAACTTTCGACGAAGCTTTGGGTCTCTGCATTTTTCAATAATTTGATCACGAATCGCTTCATCTACATTGGTAAACTCGCATGAAATAGACTTTTGTCGAAGTCGACAAACAAACTGATCTATGGTTTCATTCTCTTTTTGCTGCATTTGTCGAAACATATGCCTTTCAAAAGCCACATTTACTTTAGGTGTAAATTATGCATCTAAAGCGTTCAAACATTCCTGAAGATTGTTATCTTCACTATCTGGCTTTAAAGTATAATACAGTTCTTGTAATTCCATTCCTCCGGAGTGTAATAACAAAGCAACCTTTTGCTGTTCATTTGTAACTCCTTTTGACACCATATACAGGTTGGAAGCGCGTTTCCATCTTCTCCAGCGAATTGATAGTGTATTTGGATCTCCCTTGGGGTCGAAGCAAGGAAAACCACCAACCTCGAGTACTTTCGCATTCGTATTTAAAACAACGGCTCCACTGGATTCACCTGCTTGAATATTTTTCGAATTTTGATTCGTTTCCATAATACTAATTTATCAAAATTCCTTTTAAACAAGTCCTCGATATATTTAGATGTCCATCCTCGTCGCCATTTGTAGTATGTATCCCGATAAAACAACAGATTGAACTCGATTAAACATAAACAATTTACTGAACACGTATATTAACTAAAACGCCATCTTGGATTCCTAATCTTTTTTATACTTCATGTTACAACAATATAGTAAACACTACAACTACGACAAAATTTAGTCACTGATTCCGATATCGTTTAGCCTGCGTAGCAGGCGGTAGAAGCTAGAAATACCGCCTGTCCAAAAACTACACATTCTGAGTTCCGCCCACCGCATGGTCCTACCCATCTTAATGTATTTATTTTAATTATTTGTCAAACTCACATATTTGCACCAGTGCAAATATGCGGCTTTGACGTTTCATATCTTCGGTTCATTCAATGCTATGAAGACAAAAATACCACGTTCGATTCAGTTATTTTTTTAATTTTTTATTTTAAAAATTTTCCCCATGTACAATAAATTTATGTGTAGTATATTTACAATAATTGTAGAGTGCGGGCTAGAGACCTACTAGAAATCTTAGTAGACTTTTTATTTAGGTCTCTAGTTATGCTAGTTTGTATTGTGTTATGTAATAAATTATTTACAGTCAATCACAATATTAAAGGAATATATATATATATATACAAGAGAGAAAAAGAAGAGAAATTGTTCTTATTATAGAAGTGAATATTTACAAGAGAGAAAAAGAAGAGAAATTGTTCTTATTATAGAAGTGAATATTTACAAGAGAGAAAAAGAAGAGAAATTGTTCTTATTATAGAAGTGAATACCAATGTTGTAGATGCATTTGGGTTCTTATAAGAATTAGACTACAATATACTATTAAATTTGTCATATAGCAGAATGTTTTATAGCATATCTTATACATTGTATAGTAAAAAATATTGTTTAATTTGCTTTTTGAAAGTGCTGTAGAAATTTATATCTATAAATTTTGTTTCTAATGAATTCCATACATCAACTCCTTTATTTGAGAGAGTGTCTTCTACATAATTTGTTCTTTTATAACATTTGTGAAGTTTTGATGCATTTCTCGTGTTATATTGATGAATTTGGTTGTTTGTCAATATGTCCTCATTCATAGCGATAGTTTTAGTCGATGTCAGTCAACATTATAGCGATTTATGAGCTTTGAAAGTCAAGCCAGTTCGTGTATTTATATCAAATTACGCAATTGTCTGAACAAAAATATAGACTAGCCATACCTTTCGCCGAACATAACTTCGGCCCCTTCGGACGTAACTTTGTAATAGTCTTGTTCCAATCGCTATCAAAAACACTACTTAGAGTGTCATCTACGAGCCTGTATCTTCAAATCTGCACTTTTATCACGGTATCACATCTAACAAGCAACAAATGTTGGATTGATATTCGTTGTTCATTCTTCAAGACGAAGCGATTTCCGATTCCAGATAAAGATTAAAGAATTCAACGCTTAATTCTCAATTAATACATTAGCTATTTTTTGGTTAAGTATGCCATCACTCGATATATCGGTATCAATTACGAAAATAACAATAGTTTATATTATAATACGGCAACAGTAACTTCTAAAATTAGCACTAATTACTCTAATTCTTTACTCCTGTCAATCAAAAATTGAAAATCAACATTCTGACCAATCAGAATGCTCCGGCACCCAGCTGCCGGGGCGAACTCAGAATGTGTAGTTTTTGGTCATGCAAGTAGTATTTCCGTAGCTTCCCGTTCTCTCGTGCCCGCGAATACCAGTCAGACATGCAAAGCAGTCATGCAGTCAGACAAAGTCCAAAGTCGTGGATATATGCACGGTTGATCGATTCAAGAACAATTGTTTTAAAATTATTGAAAAGCTTTATACCATCTAGATACAAAAGCGTATGTTTCTTTCGAAACGGGTGATTCGCATTAGTGACAAAACGATCCATATTTGAGTTTGAATTTCGCAATATTTTTTTAAAATTTGTTATTGTTATTCAAATTATTAACCGTTAATTCGATTAAAAGGTCATGGAAGATGAAAGGTCAATTTTCCTTCAACTTCTGTTCTACTTCCGGTTATAATGTCGAAATGCTAGATATCGTTAAGTCATATATCGACAAATTTTGCGTGCTCAACTCCTGTAGGTCTTAAGTCATTAATCACTATTATAAACAACCAAGGAACGAGTTTCGTACGTTGCGGTACTCCAGATGGTCCCCTTTTCCGGCTGATAATTTTGGCATATATACTGTAGAACAAAAGTTATTCCGAATAAGGAGCAATAATAATAATAACAATAATAATAGTAATAATATTAGTGCATAATATTAACACACAATTTGTAAAAACTGTATAGTTCGAATCAAATATATAAAATTCATCTTCAGCAGTGTTTTGCAAGATATTTCGTTATATTACATACAGGCGTAAGCAATTTTTAGCTTTTCAAAATTGTATACAATTTTTAAACATTAGTATACTAATACTTCTTCATTTTTTTCAATGCCAAGAAATTAAAACCGACTTAATAAAATTAATTAAAACCGTTTACATTCTATTAGCAAAAACTATAGAAAGAAAAGCACATCTTCTGACCTAATCACATTTCATTGGCACAACCTGTATATGTGAGAAAATTAAGGTAAAAGACAAGGAATTAAAATTGCTACCTCACATACTGAAATTTGTCACACAACTGAAAGAACTTGTATTCTTAAGCATTAAGGTCATCGATTCTTCCAGAAACCGGAATTTATTACTATACAGGGTGTATCAAAAAAAGCGCAATCCTCGATTGAAATGTAAATTGCTAAACAAATAATAGACGAAAACGTTAAAGTTTACATTCATTTTAAAGCATAGCCATTCAGCTTTCTAACAATGGGTTGTTTCTTAAATTTGACTCATTGGTTCGCGGGTAATAATACTTTACGTTATTGCGATTGGAGATTAAAAAAATTGAGATGGAATAACAAATCGTTCTCATGAAAATAACTGATTTTTTCATTAAAACAAACAAATGTTGCATTTTACTAAATGGATTGTAACAATAAGTATAATTACGGCTTTTCTTCCACTATTTTTAACTCAGTTTGAAACTTCAAATGCGATATAATTTTGGCTTGGACCATCTAAGCTGACTGACATCAACTTGCTATAATTTCTGTTTACATTACATCGCAAATCGATGACACTCTGGCTCAGACACCAGAATGTTTTGACGATTTTAACATTCGTTTAGGATTTTCAAACAACCTGGTCTCTTTTAAAATACTTTTAATTTGTTCTTACATGGTTTTCCAGATGTAGTGACGACAACATTAAAGTTTAAAGAAGAAAATTCTAACATTTAAACCGACTAAACAATAACATAGTAAACTTGCATAATTAAACAGC